GGTCCGGGTAGGTGCACATCGTGGTGGTACTGTAATCGCGTTTTCATCTTTTCCTTGTGCTGTTCTGTTAAACTGCATTCTTTTAACCCACGAGTTTTGCCCTGACGATTCCTTTTTCCATGGCTGTGGGAGTTGTGTGAGCGACTGTGTGGTTCTTTGTTGCTGGCTGAGGCCAAACCGTGACAGTACTGCAGGCTTATTAACTTGATCAGAAGTTTCAGTCTGGATGCAGGAATTTCAAGTGGTGAGATTTTTAATTTGTCAGTGTCGCTTTTTTTTCTTTTATCTCCAGAGTGCCATTTATTCTCCTACCATTTTGATATTGATAATTAATAGTTCACTGTCACCTGGGAGATTCATGTTTATCTATCCTTTGTAAAAATTGCAGAATAATTATCAAGAAATATGTTATAGTTTCAGATAAAATTATAGGCTTATATTTCTTATATTTCTTACACATTTTATCATATTACTTGTCTTTAAATTAACCAGAATTGAATAACTGAAAATTTTGAATCATTGGTGATTCAGTGTGTGAAAGCCAAACAAATACATATGAAAATTATAATAATCATGCTGTCCTTTTGTAGAATTTACTTGAAGCTATGAAAATAACCAGGAAGGGGGAATGGAGCACTCCTTTATATTTCCTGTCTTCTTTCATGTCAATATCGTTCTTTTTTCTGTTGCACCACTTCTTATCCCACACTCCATTTCTTTTCCCAAGTCTTCCTTTCTCTTTTCCTCAGTGGGATTATGGTATCACTGTCTTGCATTCCTGTTGTTTCTCCCCATCTATAGTTACCTTAATGACTTGGACCGCATAGCAGATTCCACCTATCTGCCAACTCAGCAAGATGTGCTCAGAGTTCGAGTCCCAACAACAGGGATCATTGAATATCCATTCGACTTACAAAGCGTCATTTTCAGGTAGAAAAAAAGTTTAACACCCATTTGCTTTGTTTCTTTTGTTTCCTTACATCAGTAATACCATGTATAGGATATTGATTAAAAGTACAAATTATTCAGTGTTTTTAAAATTTGAGCTTGTTCATTTTATTTTATTGTTTTTGTCCATATGTGATTAGCAGCTGTTGTTTAAGATGTCAAGAGGATGAGAGACAGACTTGTCTTTTTCTGAAGGTAGTTATTATTGATAGAAAAACTGGAAGTAATTTTTCAATAAAATTAGTATACCAGTTTTATTAGGAATAATAAATTATGAAATGTAAAGTTACCGCTTCTGTACTTGATTTTTAGAGAGAAATTAATTTTGTAAGTTTAATACCACTCCTGTCCAGCAAATAATTTTCCCCACAGCTCATTTTGAGTGCAAATACAGTTGCTTAAGAATAACTATGCAATTACAATTTCAAGTTAGACACCCAAGTATCTAGTTACGTTGAGACTCATAATGAATTGGGACTACACTTTGCCAGCAATTTTGAGTTTTTATTTTGACTATTAACAACTTTAGTAAATACAGATTGTATTCTATTTATACTCTTAAAATTATGCAGCCTTGACAAGTTTGGAATTTTGACTAGTAATTTCTTGGGAGAAAGGCAGGCCACCAACTTCATTCTGTGGAAATGTGTTTCTGCTGAATATACAGGGCATACGTTCTAGAATCGTGGCTCAGAATCATGACAGTTTTGAATATCAGAAATTTGAGGGCTTTGATACCCATAATTCAAATTCAGAAAGCACATCAGACTAAAAAGCAAATAAGATAACTTGTTTACTTACAACACATTCCATTAGTCTTCAATAAAAATGTTAAAATTCTTAAGAAAAACAAACCAAATTGTGTTTTCAACTAAATTCTTGAATTCAGTGTTCCATATGTGATTGTATGTTTATCTGCTAAGGTATTTGTGAAGTTGATGTGATCATTGTTAATTTTGCAGAATGGTGGATGTAGGAGGCCAACGATCAGAAAGAAGAAAATGGATACATTGCTTTGAAAATGTTACATCTATCATGTTCCTAGTAGCTCTTAGTGAATATGATCAAGTGCTTGTGGAGTCAGACAATGAGGTAAGCAAGCATCAGCAGAAATCGCCAGTTTTTAAGAAAAAATAATTTCACTAAAATTAATTCTAAATTTTAAATATTATTTAAAATTTTAAATATTATTTAAAATTTGATTAAAGCACTAATTTGTAGAGAGCTTCAGTAGAAAAGTGTGTGTTTTTACATAATTATTTGGATATTAAATTTGTTGGACCAGTAAAGTATAATGATAGATTGAATACTACATGCTAAACAGCAAAACTCAAAGTTGTTAGTTCTTTTAAGACATTTTCAAAGCAGACTGGCATGTCCAGTCCTGGCTGTTTTCCAAATGTCTACCAGCAGTCATATGCAACTACATGTAATGAAATGCAAAGTTCTACAGGGCTTAAGAGGCTAATCCTCAAATAATACAACACAAACTGATCTCCTCCATGGTGGGTCAGTGGAACCTATCTATTCTGTGTTAAAAATGGAATAGTTGACTGTAGAGAAATGTTCTTATTGTAGCTATTTGCATAGTTAGCATTGTGTAGCAGAGCCATAAAAAAAGACAGTGGGAATTAAAACAAAAATCATAGGTTCTTTGCTAGAACAGACCATAAAGTAGTAAACTTCATTCCATTGACTTAAAGTGTGAGATTTATATTGGCTTATATTTTCCACTTGTACTGCTATTTCAAAGAATAACAGAAGTAAGAAACTCACAGGTGGTGATGTATGAACTAAGCAGGCAAAATGCAGTAGTATCAGTGTTTTGTATATGGTTTTACAAAGTAGGGTGGAAAGTTAATATTTGGATTTTTCTATTTCATGAAGACTGTTCCCGTTATTAATCAAACTTACATGAGTTACTCACCAGCACTTTTCTATGCAAGTTTTTAACATTCATTTACAAAAGATAGATGAAAAAAAGAAAACATTTTAATGTTCTTCATGACTGTGTATATATGTTGATTTCATTGTTTAAGAGAAGGGTTGACCTCTTGAAGTCCAACCAGGCCAGATGCAAGGTCCTGCACCTGGGTCGCGGCAATCCCAAGCACAAATATAGGCTGGGCGGAGAATGGACTGAGAACAGCCCTGAGGAGAGGGACTTGGGGGTGTTGGTGGATGAGAAGTTCAACATGAGCGGGCAATGTGTGCTCGTAGCCCAGAGAGCCAACCACATCCTGGGCTGCATCAAAAGAGGCATGGCCAGCAGGTCAGGGGAGGTGATTCTGCCCCACTACTCTGCTCTCGGGAGACCCCACCTGGAGTAATGCGTCCAGTTCTGGAGTCATCAGCACAAGAAGGAAGTGGACCTGTTAGAGCAGGTCCAGAGGAGGGCCACGAAGATGATCAGAGGGCTGGAGTACCTCTCGTATGAGGACAGGCTGAGAGAGTTGGGGTTGTTCAGCCTGGAGAAGAGAAGGCTCCCGGGAGACCTTATAGCAGCCTTCCAGTATCTGAAGGGTGCCTACAAGAAAGATGGAAAGGGACTTTTTGCAAGGGCATGTAGTGATAGGATGAGGGGTAATGGCTTTAAACTAGATGAGGGTAGATTTAGATTAGATATCAGGAAGAAATTTTTCACTGTGAGGGTGGCAAGGCACTGGAACAGGTTGCCCAGAGAAGTTGTGGGTGCCCCAGCCCTAGAGGTGTTCAAGGCTAGGCTGGATGGGGCTTTGAGCAAGCTGGTCTAGTGGGAGGTGTCCCTGCCCATTGCAGGGGGGTTGGAACTTGATGATCTTCAAGGTCCCTTCCAACCTAAACCATTCTATGATTCTATAACAAGGTAAAACAGATGTCCTTGGGCAGTCATGATTGTATTCTCAACTTTCTTCAGTATTAATATATTTAAGAAAGACTGGGAGCTCTGAAAGGTCTTAAATTTATACTTTTCCCATAAAAGAAAGAAATGCCATTACATTATTTATATCATCAGCCATCTACTTAAAAAGTACAGCTGTTATAAAGAAGAACTTTTCAGTTGCTTATATAGTGAATACATCTTGTAATTTATTTTTGTATTCTATTTATTTTTGTAATCTTTTAACTTGGAAGGTATAAGAATTCTTTTATTTTGTTTTGTAAGACATATATCTTTGATATTGTGGTCTGAACAGCAATGGAGTCTGACAACAGGTTATAAAACAAAGCTTTATTGAGGAAGTCTGCAACAATTCCCCCATATATCGACTCATCCAATCACCAATAGCGAACACAGGATCATAAGTGATGCCATGGCTCTGGTGGACTGCCAGGGACATGTGAATTGTAGGTCATCTGGCAGAAACAGCCAGTCATGCAAATGCTCTTTGAATGTGGAGAAGAGTTGCAACAATGTAGGTCAAGGGGCAGGGTGTCAGGACGCAGGGTGTTGCTTCCACCCCTTGATTCTCTCAAATGCTCACTTGACTTGGAGTTATAGGCTAGGGTATTATTTTGGAGAGTTGTTAGTTATATAATAAGCTAGGTGAGGTTGGTTTTCTGACACCTGCAGGGTATAAGTTACATAGTCAGAGATTGAAAGAGGTTGTCTAGAGAACAAGTCTCATGAGGAGCAGCTGAGGGAACTGGGGTTGTTTAGCCTGGAGCTCCTTTTCTCCAGGCTGAGGGGAGACCTTATCGCTCTCTACAACTATCTGAAAGGAGGTTGTAGCGAGGTGGGGGGGCGATCTCTTCTCCTAAGTAACAAGTGATAGGACAAGAGGAAACAGCCTCAAGTTCCACCACAGGAGGTTTAGATTGGATATCAGGAAAAATTTCTTCACCAAAAGGGTTGTCAAACATTGGATCAGGCTGCCCAGGGAAGTGGTGGAATTTCCATCCCTGAAGGTATTTAGAAGACAGATAGACATGGTGCTGAGGGACATGTTTTAGTGGTGGTTTTGGCAGCGTTAGGTTGATGGTTGGACTTGATGATCTTAAAGGTCCCTTCCAACCTAGATGATTCTATGAAAGCTGGTCTATCATGATATGGGTACCATATAATCACCTCTATCAAGTATCAGTTGCGCAGGCATCCGGGAAGTGATTACTATGACATCTTCCCAATTGCTACAAGAGAGGCTGCAAAAGAGATTGCAACCAGCATCCACTTATATCTAGCAACCCCAACCCAGGTCGGGGAGTGGCTTGACCATGACTGGGAAAATGCTTTACAACACAATCTACAACCCTACCCACTGATATGAAACAAAACATAAACAATGTCAATAAGCAAGATAATTACAAAAAGTACCACCAAAATGTTTTGACAACTACCCTGAGGTCTGGGAACCAAGAGGAACCATGACCACAATTTGCCAATTCAGCAATTGATATTTTCAGTTGCCACCTGATGCAAGGGCTTTAGTCGTTCCTGGATTTCCTTAAGGTCAATCTCAATGTGTAGATCTCGGTTGACATAGACACAGCAGGTAGTATTTACCAACGCTCAAGTACCACCTTGCGTAGCCAGCAAGTACTCTAAGGCTAGCTGGTTTTGAACGGTAGTCTGTGATACTTGAGCAACTTCTTGCTGCAGTGCTTGGATGGCATTGGTTGTTACATTTCTATATTTTCCAGGATAGCAGAGAGATTGATGATCACTTTTCCATCTCGGAGACCGCTAGCCAAGGAAGGAGGGTTCGGGCAAACTGGTGAAATCTGGATCCTCGTTCTACCAAAGGGTTAATACCACGCCGATGTCACAGGGTGTTTTTGCAGACATGAATCACATAGCGGTTTTCTTCAACGTGCATCCCATGCACTATTGGTCTGGGTGTGCAGGTCCCCTCTTGCTCCCTGGGAGGGCTTTCATGGCACAGCTGCTGCACAGGGAGTATAGGCTGGGGGCACTTATTGTGCTAAGGTCATGGCAGCGAGTGGTGTCTTTCAGGCAATTGTCAACATTGGCATGGTAGGTTTGTATGGTGTAGGATGGACCCTGCCACATGGTTTGTAGTTCATAGGACTACTGTATGATAGGACAGATCGTAGCCCATAAAGTTCTGTAGGACGTAGAATTCTGATCTGTTCTTTACCAAGGCAGCAGTAGGTAGTCAGTGGTTGAGAGATTAGCCCAAATAGAGTAATATCAGACAAAAGCTTTAGGTACATGGCCCCACAATTCCACCAATACCAGCATTCCCACCATGGGAACCCCTTGGTGACCAGAGGCTGGATGTTGTGTACAAATCCAACAATCAGTTCCCTTTCTGACATTCACCCGTGCCTGACGTGAGAATTAACAAGTTAGGATCCCAACTAGCAAGGCCCTGGTCAACTAACCAGGTCACCCCCCAGATCAACTAACAAACTGAAAACAGGATTTATTTTTACAAGATGGTAACAAAATCAAACTAAGTTTTACTCTAACCGAAACCACTTTGAGACTCTGACAATCATTAACAATCCGCAGGTTCAGAATGTCGCTCAGAAGTTAATACTACACCACCGACTTAAGAATTCTTAGGGTTTATGGCTGATTACCCAAAATGCACAATAACTCACCTAATAAGGGAGGGCTCTGAACCTCAAGGAGTTTCCTTGGACAGTGTCTTGACCCAAGGGGAGAGTCCCTGACTGCAGACTCGGTGCTCTGAGGAGGACCGACTCAAAATGGCTCTCCAGCAGGGCTCTGTTCATACACAAGCCGAATCTGAACTGTGGTCATATATGGTCATGTAGCCCCCCCATTGGCGGAAGACCCCAACTTCCTCACCTTTTGACTGAAATCCGTATGTGCTGACTGCCAACATGTGGGCATAACAAGAGCTGTGGTGGGAAGTTTTTGTGGGCTCTTGTTGGGGCTTTGTTAGGGCTTTGTCAGGGCAGGTGCATCTGCCACACAATCCACCCCATGACCACAGTCATGATTCGACTGTTTTCCTTTGAGTGGTGGTACAGTCACATCTTGCTTCCAAAGTGAAAAGGGAGCGCAGTCTCAGTGAGTCTTAATGCTCACTGGGGATCATCATTTCTCAATTGTTCTATGGCTATACTGGGATATCAATTACATGAACAGGGAGCATATTTCACAACCTACACAGATCTTA